TCATCAGGCTTGGGAGAAAGTGCTTTAGTTTGATGTGTCATCTTATTGGCCCTCTAGCAAAAATATTGTGTAGGGATCTTTTGAAACAAGAAACCCACAAATAACAATAATGAACATGATATTTTGACTTTGTAAAGTTTGAAAATCACTAGTCTTGGTCACTCCCCTTATTCGATGGATAGATAAAATAAATTGTGATTTCAGGTGACCGACATTTTGTGGCAGAGTTACTTTTTTAAAAAAATAATTTTAGTTGATTCTTTGTGGATTTCACATCACGTGTCCTAATCCCATTCATCTCCCTGACCCTTCACCTCTGCCCTCTTGCCTTTTTCACCTCCTCTCAAAATAAAATAAAATTTAAAAGAAAACCAAAAACCCCAAACCGAAACCAAAACCAACCAAACAAACAAAGAAAAAAAAAATGAAGTCTTGGTGTGAAAGCCGCAGTCTGACACAGTGGTGAGTCATACCGTTTACCCTTTAGTTCATACGTCTTCACTTGCGTGTGTTCTTTGCTCTGGTTCGATACCCCTGGCTCTGCTACCCCCTTAACACTGGGCCCGCACTGGGACTGCTCTTGGATATCCTGTTGCTGCTTTGTGTCACTGGAGATCCTGAAACAGTGGATCTGCAGATCTGGCCCCTTGCATGCTCCAGCAGTTCATGGATGAGGTGGATGTTGGGGTGGGCTAACTCACAGCCCTGGTTCTGGTGTAGCTGGGCTGGTTAGCCCGGCACCTTTTCCTTATCGTCACCACCAGAGTGAGCTCTTCAGCACTGCCCTCGCTAGTTCACCCTCGGCAGCTGGCCCCAACGTGTAGGGGCCAGCCTCGGGACCAGCTCATCTGCACTCACAGCACCAGGGCCAGCTCTCCTGTTTTGCCCAGGTGAGGTACGGGGCCCATTCTCCTGAGTGCTGCAGTTGTTAACTGCAGGGCCAGCTCCCCCGCCTTATTGTCTACCATAGATGGCACGGGGAGGGTGGGGGAGAGTGGGGCAAGGGCATCTTGCTCTCACTCACACCGCCTCTGCTCATGCAGATGGAATGGGGGCTGGACCAGCTCTCCTGCTCTCACGCCCTCAGGGCCAGGTCAGCTGTGCCCTTCCCAACTGGGTAAGCTCTACTGCCTTGCCCAAGCAGAGCCTAGGGCCTGCTCTCCATCCCGGAGTGCTGCAACTGCCGACAGGAAGGACCAGCTCCCCCACTCTCAGGACCTCAGAGCCAGCTCTCCCACAGCCACGGGCAGTGAGGGGCAGGGATGCAGGGCATCTCTCCCTTGCCCACTCGACCGTATTGCAGATGAGCGGTGGGGCCAGATTTCCCATGCATGTTCGTGGGGCCAGATCACCTGTGCCCACCCCGATAGAATCAGCTCTATTGTGCTGCCCAGGCGAGGTGCAAGGTCCCCTGTCTCTAGTGTTGCAGCCAGTGAGGAGCAGGACCAGCTTTCCCGGGCTTGTGATCCCAGGACCAGCTTTCCTGCCTGCTAGGTGGTAAGGGGGAGTCACATTTTTTAACTGAAAAATTTTTTCATATAATATGTTTTGATGACAATTTCATCTCCCCCAATTTCTCCCCATTCTTCCACCCTTCCCACCTACCCAACTCCAGGTCATTTTTTTTCTCCCTTTAGAAAACAACCAGACAAACAACAAACAAACCAGGATTTTAAGAAAGAAAAAAAGAAAAAAATATATAAGAAACACACACACACCATAAAAACACAAAATCAGAAGTCGTAATATACAGGCAAATAATCAATAAGACAAAATGTCCAAACAAAGCCATATGAGACACAAAGTCTACAAGAACAAACACCGCTGGGTGTGTTTTGTGTTGCCTGTATACTGCTCGGTGTGGGGCCTGTGTTTAACTGTGGTTAATAGAGTCACATTTCTAGCTAAGGCCTCTTTGCTGTGTGTCCAACAATTGTTCTGTTAGTTTATAAAAATGGCCTCATCACTGAAAAACTATTATGTGAAGGGCAGATTGGCTTTCTTGTTCTGGGGATGTAGTTGAGTTGGTAGGATGCTTGCCCAGTATGCCTGAGGTCCTGGGTTTGATCCCCAGCCTGGCATAAACAGGGATTGGTAGCATGTATCTGTAATCCTAGCACTGGGGATTGGGTGCAGAAGGATCAGAAATTCAAGCTCATGCTTGGTTGCACAGGATGTTTGAGATCATCTTGAGGTACGTGAGATCCTGTTTAAGGGGAAAAAAGCAGAGTAATGTATAAAGAAACACACTGTGCTGCAAATCATGCTTGACAAATCCAGACAGCAATGATAAAATGGTGTGTGAGTGTACAGATATAGGCAGGTTGGAAGACAACCTTGACTGTCCTTCCTCAGGGAGCTGTCCATGCTGTTTTCTGGGACTTGCTCTTTCAGCAGGTAAGTCTGGCTGGCCAGTGGACCTCAAGAATCTGCCTGTCTCCTCTGTGCAGTGACAGGCAGATGCCACAGTACTGGACTACTTTTTTTTTTTTTTTTTTTTTTTGGTTTTTCGAGACAGGGTTTCTCTGTAGCTTTGGTGCCTGTCCCGGAACTAGCTCTTGTAGGCCAGGCTGGCCTTGGACTCCCAGAGATCTGCCTGCCTCTGCCTCCCAAGTGCTGGGATTAAAGGCGTGCACCACTACTGCCCGGCTTGGACTATTTTTTTTTTACGTGGTTCAGGGAATTGAACTCAGGTCCTCAAGTGTAGCAAGCACTCTTCTTCCTTCCTTCCTTCCTTCCTTTTTTCTGACTGAGACATCAGCTCTGCTTCACTTAGGTGTTTGGATAAAGGTAAGAAGTATGGTAGGCATTATAGGGTAGAAAACTTTTGCTCTGTGTAATAACTTTTAAAAATAGAGTTGGTACCATTCAGTCATTGAACACACTACCTTGAGAATACACAGAAAAACTGAGCAAATTAAAATGATCAATGACCACCACCACCACCACCACCACCAAAAAGCTGTTCCATGCTAGGTACCTTGTGGTGGCCTTATCTAATGCATTTTTCTGATGATATAATGGTCTGTGCCTTTCATTGCCCTACAGTTATTGTCCATCTGTGTAAATGAGAGACAACTGGTAGTAACAAAGGTGCTTCTATCCACGGAGATGAAAAGAACTTGGTCTGCAGGAGAACAGGCTCTCCCACCTCCCTAAAGCCGGTTTGCACAGGCTCTCCTACACCTCCTTCCCAGCCAGTTTTGCACCAAGTAACCTATTTATACCAGCATTTCTGCTGTTTTGAGGCAGAATATCTCTTGAGCATCACCCGAATATTTTCCCCCCATCAAAGGGAGCAGTCTGTGGGTCTGAACCAGTTTAGCTTCTTATTGGTTGCTTCATTATTAAGCTAAAAAGTTGAAATATATTTATTTCATATTTTCATGAGATTGACAATTACCCTGTTAAATTCAATTATGTTTTTAAAAATATTTTTTTGAGACTTTTCAAAAATATTACTTATTTGAATGTTTTTGCTTGCGTGTATCTGTACACAATATGTGTGCAGTGCCTGTAGAGGCCAGAAGAGGGCGATGCCTCCTCTGCAACCGGAGTTACAGGCAGTTGAGAGTCCTGTGGATGCTGGGAATCTAGGTTCTTCATTCAGTGGTCTTAACTGCTGAGCCATCTCTGCAGCCTGAAAGCAGCTATGTCTTACTAGGAAGCCTCGGTTCTGGCTTCAAAATGAATCCTTATTCTTTCCTCACCGCTACACTTCTGCCCAGACTGAAGATGTCTCTACACTTTAAGAATGTTTCACTCTAATTCCTCTTACTGGAGAGGTTGAAACAGAAGAATGGCAAGTTCAAAGCTTGCCTGGACAGTTTTGGGAGTCTCTGAAAGTAAGAAGAAAACAAAAGGCTGGTGCTGGAGAATGAGCTCGGTGGTGGAATGTTTTCCAAGTCTACTATGTATGCCAGGCAGCAGATTCAACCCCAGACTTAGGGTTTACGACCACCAGGGGGCGTGGAAGCCTTCGCTGTCCGCGTGGGGCACAGTGGCAGACGGACGGGAGAAAAGGGGTTGGAGTTTTCAAAGCCCTGCCTTTCTTGACTATCTTTATGGCAGCGGAGGAAGTCAGTGGGAGAGAGCGCACACCGCAGAGGGCAAAGTCCGGTTGGAATTAAGAAAGTATCTATGACCTTTAAAACTGAACGCAAAGCGCAAGATCTTCCCCGAACTAACTCTTCGCTGGCTCCAATTGTTGACCACCATCCCGCCTGACGTGTTATCCGAAATCAAATAGGGAGGAGACGGGGGCACTGTTGAAGAGGGAAGGACAGTGAGAGGAACCCCACTTTTTCAAAAATTCTTCAAATCCCGAGGCTCTTTACAGCAAGGGGATGTGTGGGACTTTTCCAAATCAAACGTCTTTATCCTACAACCCTGCCCTGTAGTTACAAGTCAGTCACTTCTTTTCTCGCATAGGCTTCTCAGCAAACTGCTAAGTAGTTTCTGATTTACGGCTATGGAAACGGAATTTTCTCGAGGAACAGGATTTCCCTAACAGTTATTCAAATTGTTAGTAAAAGATGACTGAACCGCCTACATGTCTCCAAGAGGCCCCAGGGCCACCAACAGCATAACTCTCAAATTCCTAGCCACAGCTCAAATCCGGAGTTTCATCTTCAGTTACGTTCTCTGGAACCGGTCTCTGAGCCCGGATCATACAGTTCTCTACCTCGCAGAATATCTTTGAGGCAGAATATCTCTTGAGCATCACCCGAACATGTTCCCCCATCAAATGGAGCAGGAACCAGCTTGTCTTTAACAGGACGAATCCGCGGAGGGCTGGACAATATGAACAGTACGGAAAATATGGAATCGAAGCCAGACAGATTTCTTCTCTTTTTCTCTGTCCTGCGGGGCTGGGGACCCCGGATGCTCCTGCTTCTTGGGATGCCACGACGCACTGATGGCGCTGTGCGCACGCGGGCCCTTTAAGCAGGAGCGCGGGCGCGGCCCAGGTACGGGGCGGGTCCAGGGGCGGGCGAGCGCTGAGCCGGCGCTGGTCAGGGAGCCGGATTTGGAGCGCGGCGCCGGCGGGGGCCGGAGGGGGCGGCGCGGCGGACCTCGGTGGCCTCGGACGCTCCTCCTCGTGAGCGGCCGCCGCCCGCCTCCGCCTGCGCTAGCAGCTCCCTCGCCCCGGCCGGCACCGGCTGCCGCTCCAGGCCGCTCACCTGGGACGCGCTCACCTGGGACGCGGTGCCCCGCGCCCGCACTTGGGCCAGGATGAAGGACCGGCTGGAGCAACTGAAGGCCGTGAGTTTGCGGCGCCTGGGGATCCGGCGGGCTGGGGGCTGTGGGGGATCGGCCGCCAGGAGGAGTGGCGTGGGAGAGGGGCTCCCCTTAGCTCCCCTAACCCAGGTCGCGGGGGTGCTCTGCGCGCTAGGCCTCTCTCCTTAAGCCCCCGCCTCATCCCGCGGAGCTCTGTACCCTCCCCTCCCCGGCAGGGTCACGTGCTCGGTGATTCACCACCTAGCCCGATTTCCCTGAACGTCGGTAACCCTCTCATCCCTGTCCCCCCACAAACCTTCCCAGCCAAGCTGACCAGTGTTCCTTCAGACCTGGATCTACCCCGGTGCTTGAAATCAGTGGGGCTTATGAGGTCAGGGGACTCACCCTTCACCATCTGCCTTCTGTCGCCTGGCACTGTGCCCCAAATCGGTCTCCTCTCCTCTTCCTTATTTCCCTCCCGGAGCACCGGGCAGGGCTACCCCATCCCCGGAGTAGCTGAGAGTTCCGGGTGACCTCTGGAGCTGTAAGCTTGTCAGGTCCTGGGACGGGCTCCCCTCCTACCAGCCGGTGGTCTCTACTTTTCCTCGCATCCCCTGAGACAGCTGTGGTCGTCTCTGCCGCACAAAAGCTGAAAAGCTTAGGTCACTTGCTTGTTTGAGCCCATTTCCTTGTCTGTCGAGTGAGAATCACCCTCCCTTAGAGGTCTGTAATGAAGATTGAACGACACGGTGGGACTTGATATAGGGAAGTGCTGAAGGGGGAAACTCTGAGATATAGATTCATTTAGTAAGTCATTGAGTACCTTCTGCGGGATAGGGTTAGTGTGAAACTTTGGGGACCCACCCAGCGATACAGGCTGTCCCTTAATGGAATATAAAGCCCAGCCCTGGATACGCACAGCCAAGTCCATCTACCTGCCACCCTAGAAGCTTCGGCCTCAGTCGAGACCTGGGGAAGGCCTCGCTGAATCTTTCCTGGTGATTAAGGAGCTCCTTAGAGTTGGGAAGTATTAGCCTGCATTAGCACTGCGGCTTTGTCCTGCCTGGCCCGGCTGGCCCTGCTGTTTACTGGTTACCCTTTAAACTCCAAGCTTAAGTTTTGTTATCTGTAAAATGAGTAGTCGTGCAAGCTAAAAGCAAGCGAGCCTGCCGGAGAGCCCTTTGTATGACACGTAGGACTTAATAAATAGGGTTATGCTAATAACTTTTTTTTTTTTAAAATAGAAATGGTGGCAACCAGCGGGTTGATATTGTAATTGTCTTTTTTTCTTCTCCCTTGCTAGGGTGAGATCTTCCTGACTTGGTTCATGTGCTCTGGATACTGGGCTGCAGTGTAGGCTTAGGAGAAGTGAGAGAAGAAAGGACAGTTGCTTATTTAGTGGGAGTGAGCCTCTGCCCCAAATTTGCTCTTTTATATTTGAACCTCAGGGCATCCTTGTTAAGCACAACATTTACTTGTCTCTGTTTTATAGGTGGGGAAACTAGAGCTCACTCTGAGAGGGAGGGACGCCTCCTGCCAAAGAGTTCAAAGCTGAACAGCAGTCAGAGGCAGCTCCCTTTCCTTAGTGAGGGGCTCTGGACTTAGTATCTGGACTAAGATTCTCCCTGACTCTCTTCAGTATCTGGTTGTCAACACAGTAGTCTTAAGTGAGTTTTGAGTCCCAAGAATAAGGCATTTTCCAGGGAACCAGAGCAAATCCCTGTGCCTTTCAGTCCTCCAGGGTGAAGCCTGGTAAACCAGGGCTAATGACATGTTTCTCCCCTTCAGCTCTTTGGAATGTAGGGAAAGTGGGCTGCTGGTGCCGCTCTATGACAGTGTCTGAAACCACGGGGAGGCTGCTGTCCTGCTCGAGAGCCCTGCAGTGCACAGAGGACTGGCTTGAGGTTCAAAGACTTCTCTAATTGAGGCCTCGACACCCAATAGCTGGGATCCTTTTGCTACTTCACCTTTGTGCTGCTGCCTCTGCTTCTGCTTCTTCTTGATTATTTTTATTTATCCATTGACAATTCCGTACATGTGTACAATGTATCTTGATTATATTCGACCCAAATCCTCCCTCCGCTGTCCTCAGGTAACCTCCAATGCTCCCCCTTTTGTACCTTTGTGTCTTCTTTTTTCTTTTATTTTCGTCTTTAAAATTTTTATATAACCAGCTGAATCTGGGAAGGGTTGCCTGCATGCTGATGAGTATGGGACCATCTACCAGGGCATGGGCAGCCTACCAGGCCCAGAAGGAAGAAAAAAAAATTCCCCCTTTCCTAGAAGCCATCAACTGCCAATAGCTCCTCACCCAGGGGTAGAGCCTAGTGAACCCTCCCCCACCTGTGGTGGAATGTTGACTGACTAGATTTTGCGTAGGCAATCACACCTTCTGTCCACGGGTTCATGAGTGCTTCGGTCATGTCCTGTCCAGAAGACAGTGTTTCAGAGCGTTTCTCCTCAGCCTGGCTCTTAAGTTCCTTCTGCCTCTTCTTCCACTATATCCCATGAGTCCGGATGGCGGTGGTGATGTAAGTGTCCCAGCTAGGGCCGAACACCCAACTGTCACTCACTTCCAGCACGGACCAGCTAGGAGTCTGCCTTGACTGCTGCCCACTGCACCAAAGAGCCTCTCTGCCCATGGTTGAGGGCAGCACTGATCTATGGGTATCAATAAACACTTAGAAGGCACTTGGACAGCATGGCCACTTAGCAAAGCATCAGAAGGAAGCACCTTACCCCCAAGCTTCTTGATGCTTCCTTTGTAAAACAAAATTCAGTTGTCTCAGAAGATACTTCTGCTATTATTAATGGTTTCTGTGAAGGATGTTAAGGTTTCTTAACCATTCTGTAGTGTGTCTTCCACTCTGACCCTTAGCTCAGGAACCACCTTTTTTTGCAACAAGATGGGGCATGGTCTCTCTCTGGTTCCTATTATATACCAAAAACCAAACCAAACCAAACCAAAACAAAACAAAAATCAACAGCAAAAAGACAAAAAAAACAAAATCTAAAACCAAAGCAAAATAGAAACGTTTGCTAACCCGTGCATGCAGTACATTTCCCGTTGAGCAGCCAGTGCAATGAGTGTCACTCTAAACCCCAGGCGGGAGAGGGTGATGGCTGCCTTCAGATGCTGGGGCTGTGTCATGTGCTTGAGACTAGTTGAGCTGTGAGTAGATAGGAAGGGAAGATATGGGGCTGATGGGTAGAAATCAGACATCTTTAAGAAAGTAATTTAAAAATAATGTAATTAGCAGTCAGGTGTGCTGGCACACACCTTTAATTCCAACACTCGGGAGGCAGAGGCAGGAGGATCTCTGTGAGTTCGAGGCCAGCCTGTTCTATAAATCAAGTTTCAGGACAGCCAGGGCTGTTATACAGAAAAGTCGTGTCTCAGGAAAGAAAAATGTAATTAGTTGCCCAAGGATTGGGCAGGCCAGCTGAACAGGTGCTGAGTCCTCCAGCATGAGAAGCAAGCAGGAAGACTGTTGAGGTGTTGAGTGCTGTAGGAATTTGAGCATCTCTTGAGGGAGGGACCAAGAGTGAGCTTGAAGGCCTCCATGGGCCCTGAGAGTGTATGGTTCTGTGAGGTGTTTTTTATTTGTCTTACTATTCGGGAGTCCACAAGGGTCGAGGCACCAGCGTCACAGCTGTCGAGGGGACCACTGTACAGGTGAAAAAGAGATAATCTGTGACAATCTATGATAGCTATCTACGACAGTACACGTGAGCTGTCCTGAGCTGTCCACACTTAGCTCCTTGGGAGCAATGTCCTCCCTAAACCACAGGGCTAAGTGTAGTCACAGGACCTGGCTTACCTTATCTGCTGACTGCTTCTCCTCGGGGCCATCAGTGTTTTCTTGTTGACCTGGAAGTTTGCTGGGAATGTGCACTGTCTGCTCCCGGCCCTTCTCTTCTCACCCACTTCTTACTAGCTGAACTTTGACTCTACCGGACAGTTCCTGGCCAAGAAACCTTTTGTGTGCTCCTGTTTATATTCAGTAAACATTTGCTAAGTGCCTATTGTGTGCCAAGCCCCCCGCAGTAGATGCTGGGATGTAGTATCAAGCAACACTTGTTTCTGGCGCTTAGGAAGTTCACAGTTGGGTAGAAAGAACCGAGGATTAGACAACATGACGTGCACTTCTTGTGATAGCAGCAACTACTGGAAGACCCTGCTGACTGGCCTCTAGGAGACAGGAGATGAGTCTGGGGGTGTTATTCCCAGCTGTAGTTTTTCAGTGGAGGTCCCTCTTCAAATCTAATACAGTCTCTTCAGGTGCAAATAGAAGTTATTTGGAAGACAATGCGGATCCTAGATTTTCTCTCCCTTTGGTGGGTGCTTCATATATAAAAGCATCAAGAACATAAAAACACGCATGCTTGCATCCAAAGAAGGGTATAGTGGTGTGTGTGTGTGTGTGTGTGTGTGTGTGTGTATTTATAGTAATCCTGTCCAGCATAGTCAGAATTTTTTAGCTGCATAAGAGGTTTGGCAGAATTATTGTACAAAGTCCTTATCTTAAAGAGTAATTTGTCAAGTTGGGAAAACAAATATATTTCATGGAAAGAGAAAATAAAGCCAACCTCATAATGAAAACATAATGAAACATCACCGGCTGGTGATGTATAAAATCAAGGTCAAGACTTTGAGACCCCCAGAGACCTACAAACAAAACTAAAATGACTTGGATGTATTGGACCTTCTAAGACTAAGACCATTAGGGGACAGCAATGAATCAGTTGCTCAACAGCCTAGGCTTAACCTTTGACTCTGCCTATCTTGGTCTTGCTGCTACCCAAAGGCCTGCCCCTGTCCTTCTCCACCAGGAGTTCCGGATCTCCGTGGGCACAGAGTTCCTTAGGGTAATGTGCTGTAATCCTCTCAGAAATCAGGGGCTGCACCTCTGCATTAAAGCAAATTTTAGTCAGTGAGTGTTTACCTATCCGCACTCTGGGCTTTGGATCATAATAAATCTTAACATACCAACTTGCCCTTTGCTGAGATCCCGTTTTTCTTTAGTAATAGGATTTCCGCCCGG